TCATGATATTTGTGCCTTACCCGTTGGACATTGCTATGGTTTGCTCATTGGACTTACTGGTCCACAGATGGATGAGACCTTTTAAATTACTTCCCATGTTACTTTGGGAATGAGCAACGTGGTTTGCAAGTTACCAGTTTAATGAGAAAGAATTGTTGCATATGATGGCTCAAACTTCTCTTCACTTAGACTGTGTAACATATATATTTAACACACATATGTTATATACAGCATATACCTATATGTTAAATACTACATTATGTTAAATGTCACCTTTAACACATGCATATATGTTTTAAATATGTATCTATGACCGTATAAGCAATAAGCTCTTAAGGTATAAGCTCTTAATATGCTTTTACAACATTTGTTTTAATCTTGTATCTAGTTTGCTGCTCTTAAAAAATTGAGATCTAGCCTAATAGCCACTCGGCTCCATTAGATTCACTATACTGTATATGCATGTTAATTTACCAAATGGATTTGCAGTGATTGACACAGATTTGTTAGGAAAGAACTGAGACAGATTTTAGCCAGTTATATTGTTGAATTGAGTTAATAATTGAGATTTTCCTTTTCTATTGAATAACAAGTTAGAAAATAGACAATGCAATATCAATCTATTAATATTAAGCTACTTTAATATGCAAAAATGTTTTTCAGCAAATGCTGGGAAGAAAGTTAAAGGCAGTCCTATAAGGCACTAAGCCTACGTTTCTGTTATCAGTGGAAATCTAATTTATATACAAATAAAATGTCAATTCACCTCATAACCATCAAGATAAATAGATGATTTACACTTTTCTCTGAGTTTTTTAAAAAAATGAAGTGCTCTGTTTGGCTCTTTGTCCCTGGACCAGTTGAAATATTCTAGGTTTAACAAAGAGGGATGAAGTTGTGCCTGGCCCATGCACGCATGCAAAGTCAGGTTGGCCTGTTTGAATCAACAGTTGTCATTTTAGATTATTTTAATTTTTTTTTTCTTTGAGAGGGAAAAGGAAAAATGACATGTGTGAGGAAATGAATGGTCATGTTTCTTAATTTGCTTAGTGAAATTGGGATCTTATTCAAATCAGAGTTTTTAATGCATTTGCCTTTCACCTGTTGTGAGTAGAAAAATAATCAATTCCCCTTTCCTTTTGATAATCCATGATGTATACTTGATCTATTTTAGATACCCTATTTAGTGAAACAGATACATGCTTCATTTTTTTTTCAGATGTATTCTACAGTTTCAATTAGACTTCTAGCATAAAGTCTTTAAAGGCAAAACATTTTTGTAATTTTCTTATAAAAGGTGGTCAATGCAGTTCTTTAAGATGTATATGAATATATGGAGACTAATTTTGGCACATATGACATTATTACTTATCAGACTATCTCTCTTTACCTAGACTGGTACATTTATAATGATATATTTAAAATATAGAGAGCATTGCGTGATGAAATAAAAGCCTAATAAAATGTGTTTGGGCCAGAATCAAATCTCTTTGAAATAAGATATCTAAATAATGTGCATTTTATCTCAGAGAGGCTTGGGTTGGTTCTAGTGTCCACATGACTATTAATGGGCTTTGTGCTCTGAAACATATGTTAATAGAAGCAATCATTTTGGATTAATTTGATGTGAATTAATAAGAGATTTATTTGATGGGAGTTGTTTGAAGGTGATGACATTTAAATCTCAACAGGATTTAAGATGTCCAAAAATACCTTTAAGGATTCGGGAACAATCAATTCAGAGAGAGCACATTAAATAGACATGGATAGCAAAGAACAGGAACTGACATTGGGTTTATGAAGTTTGAAGCAGTTTACAAAAAAAGCGATCTACCATTGAAGTATTGCCCTGGAAAGAGAAAACATTTAAACTCCTTCAGCAATTCCTGGGTTTATGAATTGGATAAACAATGTTCTCTTGCATTTTATAGTTCACTTAAGCAATCTGATTTTGATCTGTATATATGGAGTAGACAGGATTCAAGTGTTCTTTTTTTCCTAAACCAATGAGCAAACACATATGTTCTTTAAAAACTGAACTTTATGTATTGTTCATATGGAAGCTATCTAGTTTGCTATAGGCCCAAGACTTGACCTTCCTTTTATTTTGCTATCACTTGCTTAATTCTTTAAATTCTTTGTGGGAGACTTTTGATCAAAAGAAATGATTTGCTATATTTTCCTTTCTTTTTAATTTTTAAATAAGAGCTACATGAAATGTGTAATTAATAACTCAGTACTCCTAGGCTGCTGATACAAACAAGCATTGAAGAAATATATTAAGAAGAAGGCTATCATGTCTTTTCTTTTTGTGTTTAGCTTTGATTTCAAACACAAAGTTTTATTATTTGGAAAAACAATAAGAAAATGTCATCTGGTCTTATATATTATGATGACAAGAACTGCTACTTATAATAATAATAATAATACTTTGCAGGATTTGAGACTGAGGTCAAGTTACACAGCCTTGCTCCTCTAACTTTTTAGTCTTGTTCAGGTTTTAAATACATACAAATAAAGATGTGTTTATGTGTGTGTGTCTGTGTATATATAGAGAGAATCTTATCAATTGGAAGTGCACCTAGTTGAAATGGTATCTGGAAAGATACTCAAAAATTTCAGTTTTCTTTTAGAAAAAGGTGCTCCTAATAATCTTTTTTCTTTGCTTTTTAAAAGTGTCCTTCCTTAAATTCATGATGAATAATAAAATTAAAGTCATCTTTCTGGATGTGTTTGGCACATAACCGATGCTAGATATACATTTATTGAATGAATGAATTAATTAATGTTAGAAGAAATTAGTAACTGACTGAATGTTAGGCATCAGTGGCATTTATGCCACCCTTAGTTGTTGATGGTTTAATATTTTATAGTCTTTCAAGGAAATTGGACAAAGATTTTCTAAGGTAAAACTAAAGTGCATAAGCCATTAACCAGAACCACTATAGTGTCTTAGAGGCAGGAGATGGTTTAGAAATAATTTATTGTAATTCCCTCACTATACAGCTAAAGACAGAGGCTCAGAGAAATGAAGAGGCTTGCCCTTGATCACATCAGCAGATTATTTGAACTGGGTTCAGAAACTGGACATGTGATTGATTGCTATGCCATTCTGTCTCCTTAGGTTTTGATTCTTTGTTTGGGGTCAAGATGCTACAAAGAAAATAGAACTTCTGTCTCTTACCTTCAAAGAGTTTCTCATCTAATGAAAATAAATCCTATTTCTCATCTCAGTTCTCCTTTAAAAATTACTGTGATAGTTGATTTCTTTGGTTGAATAATTCATTTGATTATCTATTGCAAGCTTGTTTGGAATAATATTTCAGAAATGTACATCTGTGAAGTAAAATGTATATATCAAACAAACCTAAATAATTAATGGTTAATTCAAAATATCTAAGTAATAATAGAAAACTCAGATCCCGAGAGTGCCATTCTGAGAATGTGAGTCAGTCTCCTACAGAAAAAGGATTTTTCCCCTATATATTTAAGCATTATAATCACTGTGATAAAGTAGTTGGCAGAGTTACATTTTAAGCTATAATGTTGATTATTTCCACTGCATAAATTTCCCTGATACTGTAGCATAGAAATACCACAGTATCCCATTGTTTTTTATAATAAACTCTTACTAAAAATTCAAAGAAAGCTTTTAGATTTAAGTTTTAATTTAGAGGGAAATAAGAATAGAAATTCAGATTTTTTTTGCATGGGATGTCTTACATCTCAGTAATGAAAATTAATACATAGAGCATTTTTAGGAAGCTAAATATATTTTTAACTACTTCAATATCTTGGCAGGTAATATGCATTCACATTAGCTCCACTGTTAAAGGGACATGTCATATATTTGTATAGGTCAAGAATGATGGAAATGTGGGGATGTTTATTACTCACCCCCAGGTCAGTTTTTTATCTTACAATGAAATGGAAGACTGAAGTTAGCCATTTTGAGCCTTGTAGCTCTCACTTAGATTCTTCAACTCTACCTTGTCCAATTTACTTTAAGCCTCATTGTCTTAATGGTTGTTTATAGTAGACCTATTGTAACTGGCATTTTGAACTTCCTTTGGTAGTCAGTCTGTGAGATATTGCTGTACAGTAGAATGAATTAAAATAGAGCTGCTGATTTCTCACAGACTGACTACCAAAGGAAGTTCAAAATGCCAGTATACACACATATACATACATACATACACACACATATACTTACATATATATACACATATACACGTATGCATGCATATATATTTATAGTAATCTGTAATTATATATGTGTATGTATATATGCATCTGTTTATATTATGACCATTAATGTAGTATCTACCTCAATAGTTTCATTCAGATAATTAAAATGGTGGTATAGTGAGGGTTTAAAGGTAGTTCAGTCACCATTTTACAAGCTTATTTATCGAGTGAAAATAGAAGACTACTAAAAATAGCTAAAAAGATAACACATGTGATAGTGCTTAATGTTCTATAGCTGTTGGTAAGGCTTACATAGATCTGATGCAGAATTCTTGATGGCATTGAAATAGTTCTTTTCTTGGCCACGTGGCAGACACTGGTGCTGGATCTGGAAGAGGCTGTCGGGGCCACTTGTCTTCAGCTGGGACCGTGTAATAGCAGGAAGTGCACTTTTTGTCTCTTCCAGAACCATTCCCCTCTATGTTTACAAATTCAATCTTTTATCCCCACCCCACTGTAGGTAAGTATGGTCCTTAGGCTCAGGGGGTTTTAGAGGTTAAATAAGTTCATGAACATTAAAGTCTGTTGTGAAAATGACTTCTGTAATTGCTTATATCATGTTCCTCCTTCTCCTGCTGCGTTATTAAAACCCAGGGGAGGGAAGCTCTTGGTCAGGGTCTGCTCGTGCTTTTATCAGGTATCTTTCAAGCAGCCCTGTGGTGCTGGTCTATTAATGTATTTCAGGTATGAAACATGAAAGTATGTTTACATCATTTAGGAAGGAAAATATTTTTTTTTGCTTTGTTTTGCAGATGTACAGATCAGCTCTCAAAATGTCTTCCATGTCTTCCGAACGTCTTCTAAGACAATTGCGTTAGCCTCCTGCTAGTTGACTAATAGAATTAATAATTGTAAAAAGCACTCTAAAGCCACATGCCTTATGAAGTCAATGCTGGGTATGATTTTACAAGTATGTGATCTATTTTTTCAAGTGAAAATGTTAACTGGAAAAGTTCTTGGCACACAGTAAAACATCATGCAATCTGTTATTTGTCTTAAAGATAATAACTTGAGGGTGGCTATAGTCTCTTACAGTATCTAACTGATGACTTGTTAGGGGAGTTTCTTCCACTTAGAAGTATTGCAAATGCACTTATATTTACATAGTATGTTATTCTGAAAAATTACGGTGATATAATTTCAGTAAAAAATTCTTTTTCTATAACTACTTCAAAGTATAGTCAACTAAATTAACCATGATGTTTTTTTTTAAAGCAACTAAAAAGAACATGCCTCTTCCCCCCGACAACAAAAAATAAAACACAAATGACCCTTCTGATAGTTCTTTGAAGTTTCAGCAGTTTAACATTCTTTGCCATGTATATTATTAAGGGTTCTGTTCAGCATAAGGAGTGAGTGAGTCATATGGATTCTAAAGGTCTTTTTTTGGGGTAGAAGGAGGAACTGGAATTGAAAGGATAGTAATTTAATTAAATCATACTTTTTCTCTGTCACTGTAGATGCTGTTTTAATAGTTTTTAAACTATGATCCATTGCTTTTCCTCATGATAACAATGTCAGCAAGATCCAATTTTTATTCTGAAAAAAAAGTTCAAAGTTTCAATATTAATGTATCTATAAGTATTCCTTTTTAAGTGTTTTGTCTTAGTTCTCTTGCTATTTAATCACCTTGACATTAATTTGTGAACATAAACTACTTTCTCTTCATTTTAATGGGAGGATAATCTTAATGAATTGCATTATTTCATCCTCATTTCATCATGAATCCTACCTTTCATATGGCTATTTATCTTTTCTGTGTAACCGTATTTATTTCATATTGATGCATTATTGTCAGATTTTATTTACATTAAGGATAAAATTTTAAAATACAAATGATATGGCATTTCAGTATTTGTCCAAGGAAAGATTGTATTGCAATATTTAAAAGACTATTGTGTATAATGGAAACAACAAAAAAAAATCTCAGGAAATTCTGGAGTAAACAGCAAGAGATGTATCAAATCATCACATTTTTATATGTAGGGATGGCTGGTACTCTATAAACTAGAATGTCCTTTCCTGTTAGACAAGTTAAAACAGCATATTTTTTTACTCAAATTCTCCTATTTTAAGTGATAACTAATTTCTTAAATTTCTCTTTTGTTCTTTCTTTACTTTCCTTTTTAGTTTTCCTTTGTTGACTACCAGTAAAATTGTTGCACAGCCTTCCATATTTTGGTACAAGTTCCCAAGGTCTGTCACGTCTGACAGAGGAATAGAGGCCTCCTAAAACATTGACATCAACAAATAAGACATTAAAACAATAAATTAGTCAGCTAGTGTTTCATTTTTAAGTGATGGCTCCCTAGCTTAGTTAATTTCGGGGCCTAATGGTAATGGCACTAAGGTGAAGGCCGTCTTTCCCCCCTCACCCCGGGAGGCCAGGCAGGTTTGCACCACCTTGTGGCCATCACTCTCTCTTGAATCCTCAACCCTTTATCCTCTGGTTCTATTGTTCATTTGTTTGCATGTTATCTTGTTCCAAAAGGGAGATTCTGTGGATATTTGATGACTAACGTTATTACTGTATGAGAAGAACAGTGTACTTTCTTAAGTACAGTTATGCTATTTTTGACATTTTTCAGTGAAGTGAATTTTTACCTTGTAAAATGATTGCTTATATTCTAACTGGTGTGTTCTCTTGGTTCAGTGATTCATATGATAAAAATTTTGCTTGACTAGCTTTTCAGTATATAAAAGGTATATTTGTAAAGGTACACCCACATACCCAAAGCCAGTGTGGCTTCTCAGTGCTTGTGACAAATTATAGGTGAAAATGATTAAAACATGTTATTAATTTGGATTTTGTCAGGACAGTTGGATAATCATGGTGTAACTAACTCTGTTAAATCTGTCCTTGAAGCAGAGTCAGCTAGTAAAGAAGGCCTGTTTTAATAGTCACAGGTGGAGTTTTCCAAGAAACATTAGGAGTGACGACTCATCCTATACTTGTAGTTTTTCAGCTGGAGGGTTAGGGAGCATAGGCCATGAACCTCCGTTCTCCACTAGCCTTTGTTACTGCATTCTTTTATTGACAAGACATAAATTGTTTCTTGTATCCTTATACCCTTAGAGTTCTGATCTATTAGACTCCAGTCGAGGAATTTGTCACAGTCTTCTTATTTTGACCCTGCCCACTGATGCCACTAACTCGAAAGGTACAGCTCAGCTAACATGTGAAGGTGAACCATAGGAAATGGCTAATATTTTGCCATTTTGAGCTAAAACATGCCAGTGTCATATGGTTCAATTTTATATTTTACCTCAGTCAACATCTCCTGTGATCCTGATGGTGAAATTGGTACTGTTTTCACCAGACTGTTCATAGAAACCCAGAATATAGTTAGGTTCCCCGTCATGCTGAATTGTCTTAGTAAAACCCAGCCTGGCCACTGTGACGTGTACCAGGGCTCCTCCTGACTTTTAGACAGGCCCCAGGCCTAGAGAAATTCATCAGGAGGAGAGATAGGAAAACATTTGTTATCCTCCATTCCTGAAAGTGATGGTGCAGTTTTCACTTTGTTTATAATATGCTGTTTCCTTCTTCTATGAGGATATTTTGGTTGAAATTATATTTATACCTTGGTTGCACAGTGTGTAACAATATTGAATTCCAATTTATGTTTATATACACATAATACATATATTAATAAGCATGTGATACATATTCTATAAACATAAACATGTATATACATTCTGTAAACATAATGTGTACATATTACACATAATATATAACATGCATAAATATATAACCATATATAACTTACTACAACTGAAGAAAGAAATTGAGAAAAAATTAATTGGCAGGCAAGAATAATTAATAAGAAGGATAAAAGACTAATTTGGTATTCATAAAATCATTTTAAAATAATAAAAGAGCCACTCGGTGACAAAAATAATTCTAAATGTAAAATTGTTTGCTTTAGCTTCAGATTTTTTTTATTTTTAAAACTGATATTTTTCCTAGAGGAAGTTTTTTTTAATTATATGCCTTAAAAAGCCTTGAACAGCTTGAGTAGAATGTTCTAGATTAGATTACATGTCTACAGCTTTCAAGTAATGCTGTATCGTCCTTTTCCTTGCCTTGCTGCAGATATGGTCCGGAAAAAGAACCCCCCTCTGAGAAACGTTGCTAGTGAAGGCGAGGGCCAGACCCTGGAGCCTGTCGGTGCAGAAAGCAAGCTCTCTGGGAAGACCAACGAGTTGCCTGCAGATCAGATGTCAGAAAATACGGATCAGACTGATGCTGCAGAACTAAACCACGAGGAGGAACGTATCTTGCATGTCCAAGATCCAGCTTCTAGCAGGAAGAAGGACTTAAAAAGCTCTGTCCTGAGTGAGAAGGCTGGCTTCCATTATGAAAGCCCCAGTAAGGGAGGAAACCTTTCCTCCTACCCACATGATGAGGTGACAGATAGAAATATGTTGGCTTTCTCATCTCCAGCTGCTGGGGGAGTCTGTGAGCCCTTGAAGTCTCCTCAAAGAGCAGATGCAGATGACCCTCAAGATATGGCCTGCACCCCATCAGGGGACTCACTGGAGACAAAGGAAGATGATAAGATGTCACCAAAGGCTCCCGAGGAAACAGGGCAGAGCGGTCAAGGCTCAAGCCCGGTTTCAGTGGCCTCAAAAAACCCACAAGTGCCTTCAGATGGGGGTGTAAGACTGAATACATCCAAAACTGACTTACTGGTGAATGACAACCCAGAGCCGGCACCTCTGTCTCCAGAGCTTCAGGACTTTAAATGCAATATCTGTGGCTATGGTTACTATGGCAACGACCCCACAGATCTGATTAAGCACTTCCGAAAGTATCACTTAGGACTGCATAACCGCACCAGGCAGGATGCTGAGCTGGACAGCAAAATCTTGGCCCTTCACAACATGGTGCAGTTCAGCCATTCCAAAGACTTCCAGAAGGTTAACCGTTCTGTGCTTTCTGGCGTGCTGCAGGACATCAATTCTTCAAGGCCCGTTTTACTAAATGGAACTTATGATGTACAGGTTTGTGCTTTGTATTGTGATTTCTTTGTACAGAAGAAGTTATTAGCAATGAAGTGTGAATTTTTATATGCCTCTTAAAATCAAGCTCCCAATACCAAAGTGGGTAGTCTGGTAGATCCAGCAGAAGAGATGGATACTCTCCATAGCTTTGTCATCCAAATGTGTAATCAGAGTGGTCTTTAGCCTCTCATCATAGAGAATAATCCCAATGGTTCTATTAGGATGGGAAGAGTTTTTTCATGGAATTAGCAAGTCTTCGTATGCCCAGACATTCCACGGTAATTTAATGTTTTCACAGTTTTCCAAAAGTGGCAGTAATCTTTATGGTGCCACATGATAGTGATCCATGCTGTGTCCTAGATTATAAATCTTTTGCTACGGTTTCCATAAGCGATGGTCCTGTGTCTTTAATTAGGATTTGATTTTATGCTCAGCCAAAGGTCAAATTGGAGTAGATTTGGGTTGTATTAACAGTTGTAGAGAGATATGCCTGAAAAGTAATACATTTGCAACATAATTGCACATAAAAATTTGGAAATAAATTTTAATTGACTAAAAAGAAGTCAGAGTGGTTGGAAGTACTGACGACACCAGAAGGACCTTGATCGGGCCAAAAAAGCATTCTTCTCTACTTCTAAAAAAAAGTAATAATTCGTGAAAGCATTTAGTAATAATTTATTAAATTTCTACTTTTATTACTACTGGCTTATCTTTTTGTTCTATTCTTCTGTCTTTAGTTTATGACATTATGTGAAATAAAAAGAAATTACCATTTCAAGTAAAATGAAATGTAGAACTGGCTCTAAAGAAATGTATTTATTTCATTTTAGCAATTTCAGCATAGTGGAAACCTATGGTCAGCTTGAGAAAGTGTGAATTTCTGTTACAGTCTGTAGATTGTATTGTTAGGCCAGGGGATTTCAAAACATCTTAAGTTTAATATTCACCTTCTTTAGGAATGATTAGAAAAATTACTAGAGAATTAATGAAATCATATCACATTTATTTGACTTCCTAAGTCTCTTAAAATATCAATCATTTTTATCAATTCAATAGCTACAGCACATTTGCTGTAGACCTTTCTGTTGACCTAGTGCCAATTAAGGCAGGCAGGCCAAGGGGTTATAAATAACAGGTAGGGAACATATTTTGTAGTGCTCGTAAGAAGAATCAGACATTTCCAAGTCCTTTAAAAATGTCAGAACAGCAATCTTATCACTTTAAGGGAGATACAAAGAATAACCCTTAAAAGTCAGTTTCATATTTGTAAAGCTCTCTTAAAAATTCCATCTTACTTTGTGAATTTCCACAAATAGAACTATTTCTGTGGAGCAGCAAATTAAGCCAACATGGTTATTATGCATGAAAGCTTCATGCTTTGAACTGCTGCCTTATTAAAGATCATTTTACTGTCTTATGTCAGATACACTCTGCTGTCAAACTATGATCGGAAAGCAAATACGTGTTTTAGATAAAAGGGTTAGAAGTGAATAATGTCAGTGTGTGAAATGGTGTTTTATAATTAGCAAGTAATATGATGTTAATACCTGGATTTCCGGCAGGAGTTTCAGTGCGTTCACTCTGGGGACAACTTCTGAGGGAAGTTGATCTGGGCTGTCAGGAAGGCTCTAAAACGAAGATTACTAAGTCCTATAGTTTGGAAGAATTCAGATTTTTAAACACACTTCCATTTTCCCCAAACAGTTATTTGTTAGATTCTTAGTTATTTATAGTAAAGTTTATGTTTGGGTAGAATGAGCTGGACACTTTTCCTGGGCAGTGATTTTAGAAATAAAACAGATGTGAGAGCTATCTGAGTTTGAACTAATAGAACTAGAAATAAAACAGCTGATTCCAGGCTAGGCTTCCACTAAGTCCTTTGCAGCAGCAGAGAAGAGAGACAGTGGTAGGAAATAGCATGAAGGAAGATAATCTAGTTAAGATCAGGTTTTTTCAAAGGGAAATAATATAGCTAAAAACAGAAAAGCAATCTGGAAAAAGTGGGTGATTATTTCAGAGAAACAATTGTATTTAGAAATAAGACTGAAGACAGTTAACTTTCTTCAGTTTAGGAAAAGAATACTCAATAGACCTTGAGGCCTAATGCTCATCTTGAGTATTTTGCACATGTACTAGAGGTGGATGCAGAAACATGTCTGAAGATAAGTAACATTAATAGTTTTAATGCTGAAATAAATATCGAACAGCTTCCCTATATGCATAAGATGAATAGAAGTGTATCAGAAAAAAAAAGTGTATCTGAAATTCCTTTGTAGCCCACGTTATTTGTGCTGGTGAAGGGCTGTTTGAGAGCTTGTTTCTTTGGCACTTGAGCTGTGTGGGGACTAAAAGCTGTGGAAAATAAAATGCTGATGATAAAATCTCTTTCATGCAGTTTTGTCAGAAACTTAGAGTAAGTTAATGGCTTGTGTGTATTCTGATAAAAAGATGTTTGGTAAATACGAGTGTTACAGACAGTCATTCAGCTTCAGGAATTTATATAAATCCGTAATTTAAGCTAATTGAAGTGATAAAAGACCAATTCATTAATCTTTTTCAGTGAAACTGGCTTTTTTTTTTTTCTTTAACAGTCAGGACAGTTGGTGGTTAATGATAGATTTATGACATTTTAGGCCAAGAAAAAAGGAACAGAAGCCAGAAGTAGATGACTAAAGAACTCTGTGGCTTTGATCTGTATTTTGGTTTGGTATGGGTAGTTTTAAATAATTCAAATTGACTTGAATGCAAACATGAGATATACAAGTGGGAAAAATAATTTAAACAAAATTTTAAATTTCAACTTCCAAATTCAGATTATTTGACATATATTTAGGGATTAATTGGAGTTTCACCATCCTTGTACTGGCAATATCCACTTTTATACAAATAATGAAATCAAAGACTTAAAAATTAGAAAAAAAAATAGTACCAAACAACAGTGCTTCTTTGAACTGTGTAGTAGATAGAGCCTCAGCCAAATAATGGAGGTCACTTTAAAGGCCCATTATAAAACCTGGACAGTTTTTCTGAGTCTGTCAAATTCAGATCCCTCATGCACCTAGAGGTAGCAGGCCCTGAAATCAGAAAAGATGTTGATTCTTTACTAAGAAAAACAACAAAGAAAGGATATAATGACTGCCTTGGAGTTAATTGCCTTGACCAGGATGTAACTTTCTCATTTAAAAAATTTTCCTGCATGTTTTATCAACTACTATGCTTCAGTTTTTGAAAAAACAGTGATGTGACATTGGTAAGCCCTTCATGTAATTTTTACTACCTGTATTCAGCCTTTGAGGCTCACATACAGACCAATAATAGGACAAGAGATTGAGTTCTTCAAAAAGTAATTACAGCTTCTTTCTTTTTAATCTGCTTTGTTATGCTTATATTTAAACCATTGCTGAATGGAGGTCTGAGTTGTTAAATGCGGACTTCGCTGTTTCATTAGGGCTTAATGTGCTGTGCATTAGGGCGTTGGCATCATCTTTATGGGGGAGCTCTTAGCCCTAGACCAGCTTATAAAAGTCGGAGTCCTGTCAAGATGTGCTTCCCACGGGAAAGTGTTTTAGCTATCCCAGATTTATAAGTACTCATGATATATGTGTTGCCTTTTCATATTAGAAAATCTTTTCTGTTATTCTGCATTATTCAGCACTCCAAGAAGGGTAGCTACAGGGTTCCAGCTATTTTTCATTTTGGCCCTTAATAAAATCTTAAGAAAAATATCTCACTATTAACTGACCAGTGAATTGTCTTGTGTTTGAGCAAGGAGCTGTTTATCAGAGTTGGACAATATATAGATGTCATCTGAGAAGCCGGAAGAACAGATTTTAGAGATAGAAGGTCATTTTTTGGATTTGTGTTTTCAACATATTCACTCTGGAGCTTTATAGATCCTTAACATATGCCAGTATATTCGTTTGAGCAGAAGGTTAACAGTTCGGAAAAAAAATCAGAGAACATTCATCTCATTTTGGTCTATTTTGACTTTTCTTAAATTTTACTTCCAAATATTTATTTTTTGCCTTGGAGTTTCCTTTGATCTGGAGTAGGAGGGAAGTTGTAGATCTTAGCAGTTTCTGTTTCTTTGTTTTTCTGAGTTGAGGACAATTGCACTTTACAACAACTGGTGAATGAGACTTTAATCACTTCAGACTGTCTATAGAGAGTACACAATGTTTGGCATATGAACCCATACTTGTTTTCAGGATTGTGTGTCTTTAACAAGGAAAAAAGTGTGCAGAATAAAACATATGCTCACCCTAGGGCCATAAAGCAAAGCAAAGTTCTGGCATTTACCTTCTTATTTCATCATGGAGATGGCCGAGCTGGATGGATAACGTAGCCTCTCAGGGGAAGAAGAGTCGTTTGATCATCTTCTATGATCCTTTTACCTGCATGATGGTTAAATCCCAATTTGGCTTTATAACATGAGGATCAGTAGCATAAATGTCAATAGCTCTTTGATTTTCTATTTTTTTGTTGTCATCTAAAGAACAGGTATCACTTCCATGAATATCAGTATTTCTCTCTGGGCAGATAATTTAGCAGAAGAAATCATGGTTATAGTTCATCAGTCACATTTAGCAATATTCAACTCAATATAAATTAAAAAAAATAAAAATTAAAAATTATCCTTAAAAAGGCTTTCTCGGTCCAGCCATATCAGGGCAGCTGGTTACTTAGTGCTTTTTGTTTTCTGGGTCATCATAATTACAGCAGACATGCAGCTGTCAGAAACACAGATATCTAAGTAGTACACCAACTCCAGAAAAGATGAAGAAAGAGAGTAATTCCCATTCATTTCTTGATTTCCTTCATGGGGTCTATTTCTGAGAATCATTAGACCACAGACCTCTGGAATTCTTCATCGTCTGATTCTAAAGTTTGAAGTGTTAGGCATTGCCAGAATATCAGAAAAAAACCTTCATTGCAAGTCAAATGTAAGACTAATTTTTCTATCTTACTTTTAATCTGATCCACACTTGTTTCACCTACAG